AGGGTGATTTTTAGGTTAATTCTTAAGTCCTACCACCACAGGAATCTGCGAGAGTGCTGTCTCTTTAAATATCCAAAATAGTCAAGCCGCTTTTTAAACCTACAAAATGCCGGCACCCTCCAGACCGGCAAAAGTCCACAGCTCAACCCACCTTTCTCGTCCCCTTCTCCGTTCGTTCCCCAGCCACCGTGCACAGTCTTCCGTGCAGTCCCTGGCTAGTAGGGTGATTTTTAGGTTAATTCTTAAGTCCTACCACCACTTGGGAATCTCTAAGCTGTCTGTGCCGTCAGGATTGCTCAGAATCACTGCCAGACCACAGCTCCATATATCTCCTTTTTGGGTATTTTCACACAAATTCTTCTGCTACTGGGGGTTTAGTCCACTTCTATATCCTTCCCTTCAAGGCTCAGAGGTCCAGGATTATCTTCTCTGTCTGTGTTAATTGGTTTCCCTTTTCTTTGTTGAAGAGGGTCTGTGTAGTCTTTCTGCCTAGTCCACCATCTTGCTGTGACCATCAGCATAAAATTTTTAAGGTTCATCCAAGTCATAGTGTGTATTAGTATTTCATTTCATTGTATGACTGAATGATATTTCATTGCATTTATTATTTATATTTTGTCTATCCATTCATCTGTTCATGGACCAAGTGGATTTCTAAAATATGAAAAGGACATAAATTTTCTTAGATTTGGCATATTGTATGATATTCCTTATGTTTTCAAAAATGATTTATGCTTTTGAATAGGATAGCTCTTGTTATTTGCCATCAATTCTGACCCTACTTATAGCGACCCCTCCTTGGGTTTCTGAGGCAGTATCACTATGGAAGTAGATTGCCCCATCTTCCTTCCAAGAAGTTGCTGGTGGGTTTGAACCCCCAGCCTTCTGGTTAGCAGGCAAGTGCCTTAGGCACTATGCTACCAGAGCTCCTAGGATAGCTATAGGATACCCTAAATTGACTGTAAATTTAAGGGATTGAATATTCTTTCCATATCAAAGCAGATTACAACTGTGAGAAATAGGGTTTAATATCAGTGCTGCACATTTATAAATGTTTTAGGATACAAAAAGAGATTTCAAACATAAATTTAATTATTTTTCCTTAATTTTTAGTGTGGACAGTAGGTTTTCTGAATAACTTCTTTGACCCAAAGGGAGTATTTATAATATTTAAAAATTTTGATAATAATTTCCAAAAACAGTATAGTGTTAAAAAAGCATTGTCAATGAGAATGTTAGATGCATCAAGCAGGAGTTTGTGGGCAATAAGGTTTTGAGATTTAGAAGTTTAAGTAAATGAAGTGTTTCATTTCCTTTAATAATGTGATAATTTAAAAAACTAAGTCCAATGTTGACATTTTTAGTTTTTCTTGACCTCTTTATTTTTCTTTACTATTCTGAAAAAGAAATACATGAGACTTTGTGGGTTTTTGGCTATACCCCCAAACTCCACTGCCTTTGAGTTGATTCCAACTCATAGCAACCTTGTAAGGACAGAGTATAACTGCCCCAAAGGTGTTCCAAGGCTGTAACCTTTATGGAAGCAGACTTCTCCCATGGATTAGCTGGAAGATATACAGTCGAACACTTTAACCACTGCATCACAAGGGCTCATTTGTTGGTTATAATTAATTATATTAGAAATCATAAAGTTTCTAAATATATAAAATAGACTGCTAACCAGAAGGTCAGTGGTTCAAACCCACCAGCTACTCTGTGGGAGGAAGACTGGGTGATCCACTTCTGTAAAGATTTATAGCCTTGGAAACCCAATGGGGTCGTTGTGAGTCAGAATCAACTCTGTGGCAGTGAGCTTGGCTTTTGGTTTTAAGTAAATTTCTAAGCTTAATGATAATGATTACATTAGTATGCAAACTAAAAAAGACAAAAACAACCCTCTGTCATCGACTTAATTCTGATTCATAGCAATTTTATAAGACGCAGTAGAACTGACCCCATAAGGTTACCAAGGCCATAAATCTTTATAGAAGAAAACTGCCTTCCACATCTTTCTCCTGTGGAGTGTCTGGTAGTTTCAAACAGCCAACCTTATGGATAGCAGCCAAGTGTTTTAACTGCTGTGCAACCAGGGCTTCTACTACTAATAATAATTAAAATAGAAGAGTTTATTTTCTTTCAGAGTTTTAGTATAAGAAAATTCCATAAGCCTAGAAATATTGAAATCTGTTTAAAGGGAGGGGTCACAGTAGGAGGTAATGGGGATAATGAGCAAATTGATGTATACTGTGATATTATATATTATATATATATAGAGAGAGAGAGAGAGAGAGAGAGAGAGAGAGCAGGTAGTATGCATATATATTGTGCATTCATATAATATATCTGTATATACATGTGTATGCAATTTTGTATGGATGGATATAGAGATAGATAAATACATAGATACGCAGGACAATTAATGTATGTAAATAGAGCATCGTATTCTATTGGGTCATTTGCATTTATTTTATTTTAATTGTTGTTTGTATGCTTTTTCTAATTTTCTTTTGGAAGCTTTGTTACTTTTTAAATATTTATAGAAGTATTGAAACCCATTTCTTGCCTTTTATATTGATTACAAATGGTTTCTTTCTGCTTGGTCTTTTATAGTATATTGTAGCACCATAAAATATTTCACTCCTGGATAAATTGCCTTTCTTTTCCCTCACAGTCTTGTTTGTGCCCATTGTGAAATTCTCCCAATTACCTGGCCTCTGTTTTGTTTCTGTCTATAACTATAACTTCCATTTTAGGCCCAGTGTAGTTAGGGAGCTATTTTCATGGCAGCGAACAGAAGGCAACTTCTCAGCCTTTATTTTGTATTCTCAGCAGAGAAAGTAGCAAGAGTGATCCACAGGTAGCTTTTTGTTTATTTGCTTTATTATCTGCTTGTTCTCCCCATACTGGAAATTCCTCATAAACTCCTACCATGAGACAGCCTCTATTTTGTCTGTTCTGAATTGTGCTTTTCTTTGCTCTGTATTCACTATCAGTGTAATCTGATCACTTTCTATTTTGGGGGAATCTCCTAAAACATTGATTCCAGTGGTTATGTTTTCCATTTTATGTTTCCATGATTTTGTATATATACACACGATTTTTTTTAGACATTTTAGTTATATTTGGGAATGGAAAGGGAACAAACATGTATGCTCAATCTAACATTTTGAATTGGAGAACATCTGTGAGAGCCATGACATTCAGACTATGTAATTTGTTAGTAATTTATGCCACCTTCTTACAGCCCAAAGATACTGTGATAATAAACCTCTAGGCCATGGTCTCAGAAATGAATTTATAGTACAAAGGGGAAATAATGCCATAGGAAATAAAATATCTGTGAGATCCCATATAATTTGTGCTTAATACTCTTTGTGATATATTAAAATTCAGTGGATATGTCAATGTTCATGCAGCATTATTCACAACAGCCAAAATATGGGAACAATCTAAATGTTCATCAACAGCTGAATGGATAAACAAAGTGTGGTACATATATACAATGTAGCCATAAAGAGAAATAAAGTCCTGATACAATTTACAACATCGATGAATCTTGAAAGCATCTTATTGAGTGAAAGGACAGATATTGTATAATTCCACTTCTATGAAATATTAGAATATGTGTATGTACACACACCTAAGTGATCACCAGGTGGGGAGGGAGTAAAGAGACGGAAAGAGGGGCTCATTGCTTAGGAGACACTAAGTTTCAGAATGTTAAAAGTGATTAAAAAATTTTGGAAAGAGATCATGGGGATGATTGCACAGCATAATGAACAAAATGAATGCCACTGAATTATACATGCAAAGGTGTGGAAATGGTAAATGTTTTGTTAGACACATATTTATTTACTCTCTCTCTCTCTCTCTCTCTCTCTCTCTATATATATATATATATAT